CACCATCTTGTAGTTTGAACAATGTCTTGTCAATGACTCCTTTGGTAAATCCATTGTCTATAAGAAATTGAGACAATGTATCATACCAAGCTCTTGGTGCTTGTTTGAGTCCATACAGCGCCTTTTTGAGTCTATACACCTGATCTCCTTTAGTGTGTAACTCAAATCCTTGAGGTTGTTCCACATAAACTTCTTCCTCGAGGTTTCCGTTGAGGAATGCGCTTTTGACGTCCATTTGATAGACCTTGAAGTCCTTGTGAGCAGCATAGGCTAGAAACAGCCTTATAGCTTCAAGTCTAGCAACTGGAGCGAAGGTTTCATCAAAATCTATACCTTCTTCTTGACAATAACCTTTTGCAACTAACCGGGCTTTGTTTCTGACAACAACGCCGTTTTCATCCATCTTGTTCCGGAAGACCCACTTTGTCCCAATGACATGTTGATGAGTAGGTCTGGGAACAAGTTTCCAGACGTCATTTCTGGAAAATTGGTTGAGTTCTTCTTGCATTGCATTGATCCAATCAGAATCAGCTAGAGCTTCTTCAATATTCTTTGGTTCCACTTGTGAGATGAAATAAGCAAGCATAGCTTCTAGACTCTGTTGGGCACTCCTTGTACGAACACCAGATTGAATATCTCCAATGATCTGTTGAGGTGGATGATCCCTTAACCAACGAAGATTGTGTTGATTGGGATTGACTGGTTGATCTAGTTCAGCTTCTGGTTGAAGGACAGAGGTTGTTGGTGTTTCCGGATGGATTGGCACTGGGTCGCCATTTCCGGAATTGTCGCCGTTTGAGATATCCGGAATATTGGAAGGCTGGCCAAGATTTCCGGAAGGCTCAGCACTGTCTGAATCCGGATTTCTCTGTGAAGTCTTCAGTGGTAGACTTCTGAATGGAATGAACTCCGTGGGCTTCATTCTATCTCCTTCATTGGCTTCTTCATCCTTGTCTGATAGATCCAGGACTTCATGATCATGCTTTGATGGCTTGTCAACCACATGTTTTTCATCAAAAATAACATGTATTGACTCTTCAGTGATCATGGTTCTTTTGTTGAAGACTCTAAATGCCTTGCTTACCATAGAATATCCTAGAAAGATGGCCTCATCTGATTTCTCATCAAAAGTGTTCAGATGATTCTTCCCGTTGTTTAACACAAAGCATTTGCTCCCAAAAATATGGAAATATGATATATTAGGCTTTCTCCCGTTCCATAGTTCATAGGGAGTTTTGTGGTGCCTTTTATAAATCATACTCCTATTTTGAGTATAGCAGGCTGTGTTAACAGCTTCAGCCCAGAACCTCTTGGGTAAGGAAGCTTCTGCTAGCATGGTTCTCACTGCTTCCTTCAGGGTTCTGTTCCTTCTTTCAGCTACACCATTCTGTTGAGGTGTCCTTGCTGCAGATGTCTGATGAAGAATTTCGTTTTCTTCACAGTAGTGAATGATGATTTCATTCAGGAATTCTGTGCCTTTGTCCGATCTGATCTTCTGAATGGTCTGACTTGCTTGGTTTTGAATCAGCTTCATGCAGTTGGTGAGTTTCCCTTGAGTTTCCTTCTTGCTGTTGAGGAAGATTGTCCACGTGTATCTTGAGTAATCATCAACTACTATCAGGACATATTTCTTTCCACTTAGACTTATTGGTGTAACAGGGCCAAATAAGTCCATGTGAATAAGATTTAATATCCTTGTAGTTGAGGGTGCCGATTTTGCTTTGAAGGTGGACTTGACTTGCTTTCCTTTCTGGCAAGCATCACAAATGCTTTCCTTCCTGAATACAGCTTTGGGAAGACCTTCTACTAACCCTTCTTTGGACAGCTTGTTGAGAGTTTAGAAGTTGAGATGACTCAACCTCTTATCCCAAAGCCATAGAAGGTTAGTGTCACCTTTGCTGATTAGACATGCTTCCTTGACATTATCCCACATCACTTCATAGATGTTTCTGATTCTCTTCCTAGTGAGAATGACTTCATTTGTGGAGATGTTCTTGAGAGATGCCATGTCCTTGCAGAATTCCAAGGAATAACCTTTATCACAAAACTGACTTATGCTAAGAAGGTTATAATTGAGACCTTCTACAAAAGAAACAGCTTGGATGGTTAGTCCCTTGTACACCAGATTTCCTAGCCCTTTGGTAAGACCAAAATCATTGCTTCCTCCAAAAGTAACTCTTGGACCATCATAGGGAATTAGATTGCTCAAAAGGCTCGCATCACCCGTCATGTGTCTTGAACAGCCACTGTCTAAGTACCAGACACCTGGGTACTTAGCGGCTTCCTATATTAGGAGGAGGAAGATTTTGGTACCCAATTAAGTTTGGGTCCGGAGTAGTTAATGGTGTGTGTCCCTACATCAAGTTTGAAGTTGTAGGGAATTTTCCTTGCAGCTCTAAACTTGTTGGGATTGTAATCATAGTTGTAGGCGTAAAACTTCCTACGTGCAGGAGGTGCAATTTCCTGCTTCCTCCTAGCAAACCTAGGTTGATAAGACCCATGATTTTGTCTAGGTTGTGCATAGTGTGGCCTGTGTTGGATATAAGCATACTTAGGTGGCACAAATAGTTTCTGGGGTGGAGGATGACTATATTGTGGCATAGTTCTCCACTCAGAATTTCTTGGAAAACTCCTATCTACCCCATAATGAGTATAGCCTCGTGTATAATGGGGGTTAGAAGGTTTTCTTCTGAAATTATTTCCTTTTTGAGGTTTGTCCAGCTTCCTATAGTTCTTAGGAGGGACTACCTTTTTGGGAACTT